TTCATACAAGATCTTGTTAATAATCATGATGTAATATTAGAGTTTATTGATACGAAATATCAATTAGTCGATATCTTTACAAAACCCTTAAATGAAGAACAATTTGATTTCATTAGAAGGGAATTAGGGATATTAAACTGTCCGAATGCATGAATTTATTAAAATTTTATTTTCAGACTTTCTTGATCACTCACCTGAATCATGATCTTATAGTGTGCGCAATGAGCCATATGCATTTTACCATATGAGTTTTTACGATGTTTAAATGATGAATCATGAACTTATGGTATGCATTTTACAATACGAGTTCAATAAATGTTTGAGTATGGTATGCATTTTATATGATGAATCATGAATATACAATCTTCAATATGAATTTTTTTTTTTCTTATGATGTGAATTTTACGTAATAAGGTTGTGTGGTTCATAACAATAAAAATCTTGCATGATAAGGTTGTGTGGTTACATGCGAATTGGTATCACCCCCCCACCCCTCCCCCTCTCCCCACACAATTATGTGAGCAGTACTCACTGCCAGGCAGTAGCACCGCCCAGCTAACGGTGCCACCGCCAGCAACCTGCCCACTTATAAACACAAGTTAGGGCTGGCGGTAGAACCGACCCCAACTCATTTTGCACTCCTCCAAACAGCTCCAAACTCATAAAATCCCCACTTCCCACTAGATCAAGGATCAATCTCCGACATTCTTTTAAAGATCACTAGAAAAGATAACTACTAAGGTAATCTCTATACCAAATTGATTCTTCTTATTTGCCTTCATTGTTGTAGTCTCAATGGGTTCTAGAAGATCCTCTAAGGACAAAGGGAAGAGGAGATTAGATGAAAATTATGACTTCCTACTTTTCAATTCTAATCAACGCGTCCTAAAATTTTTATCCATAGAGTCTAGACATGTTCATAAGGGTAAATATGTTGATTTAGATGAATTAAGTGATTTGGAACCTATTCAATGATTTACTAATCTAAACATTCTCCCAATTCTTCAAATGAGTGAACCTATCTACCCTAGACGTGTTAGACTATTTTACAATAATTTACATGTAGATGAAGAAGAAAGGGTATCTACCTATCTATTAGGACATCATATACCCATTACGGATAGATCAATTTGCATCATAGGAATTCCGGTAAAAGAAAGAAGGTATTATTTTAGAGGACAATGGGATGAAGAAATAATTGGAACTACTTACGTTGATGTCTTAGGAACAATTTTTGGTAATCCTAACTTAACTATTCTTCCAAAATGCTATGAACATTTACTACCCTTAAGCACCAAAATACCTCATCACATCTTGATAAGTATCATTCTCCCAAAACAATATCATCATGATGAAGCAAGCCAAATGGAATTAGGTACCATGTATTTGATTATGAAAGGACATAACAATTGTTTTGGTTACCTAATCTAACAAAACAGATTGAACTATCAAAAAGGGACATGATGCTTCCATATGGTGGCTTAATCATAAGACTACTCTATGCCTATGATATTGCTATTCCACCCGAAGAAGAAGTTAAAAAACTAGATAGATTTAATATCATAAATAGAAATCTACTTAGACGGATGAGATGTACATTCAGAAATGGTATATGGACTAGACTGCCTAGAAGGACTAATCCCCTCCAACCAGAACCAGAATCTGAAACATTAATTTTTAGGGGTAATCAATCTCCTCTAACTGGTCCGTCAGAGGAATCACCTCCGGTAGAGTAAGCACCTCCCTCATCTATCGACGACATAGGGACTTGGATGGATCGATTTGAACAACGTCAAGATCGACTTGAATGACACCAAGATCAAATTTTGACTGAGTTACAGTAGATTCATCAATAACTCAATACCCTGTTTAGACATTTTGACTGGCCACCACCTGAATAATTAATTATGACTTTTTGCTGATGACAAATGGGGAGAAATAGATGAAATCTCCTTCTTTTATTCTGCTTACTTTGATATTGTAATCCTATGTTGTTTACCTTGATGTTGTAAACTTAAAATGCTATTTGATGATTGCAAATCTGTGCTTTGATTTACATGTTATCTCTTCAAATGATGAGTATGATGATGTAATATTGTGCTTACTTTGATGCTAAAAATTTCTATAATTTTGACTCGAAAATGGATGTCATGCCTTGACATCATTTCTATTGACGAATACGTAGTATCATCTTTAGATTTGATAAATCATGATGTGCACGATGATAATAAGTCTAAATTATTAATTTGATGCTTGAATTCAAAGGCTTTGAATTTGTCTTTTCTTAATTATGATGTATAGATAGGGGGAGTTAAGATTAACTCCATCACCAATTGGTTGTCATCATAAAAAATGGAGAGATTATTGAATCTCGGATTTTGATAATGAAATCAATTGGTAAATTATTTGATCTAATCTATATGTTGAGATAAGTATGCAAGATTAACTACAATAGCAGTAAGGAGTAAAGCAAATGATGGGCCGGAGTCGAAGACTCAGATGATATATTGGGAGCTCACCGAGAGTTCATCGTGAGATTACTAGAAGCATGTTGGAAGACTCACTAAAAGCTCGTCGGGAGATCGTCGGAAGCACGTCGGAAGACTAGCCGAGAGTTGGTAGGGAGTTCGCCAGAAGCTCGCCGGAAGACTCGCCAAGAAATTCGCCGGAGGATCGCTGAGTGAAAAATCGACATACCAGACCATGCTTGCCTTAATCGCAGTTAGAACGATAATTAGAGTTGATTTGGGCGGTAATCTCATCAACTTTGTTAAGGGCCAACTAGTCTCAGAGTTGGGCTGGTTTGGGCCAGATTCAAGGCTCAACCAGGATGCTGAATTCCTGGCTAGCGGTGGCATCGCCTAGAAAGCAGCACCCCAAGAATTCTGGGTAGTGGTTCCGCTGGCAGTTAATGTTGCCAGCGATGGTATCGCTCTTGTCAGGCAGTGGTACCGCCTAGTAATAGCGGTGGTACGCTAGTACCCCAAAAATTCGGAATGAGACACTTTTTGACTCTAATTTTGAAGCCATTGGGGCCTATAAAAACCTCACCTTTTCTGCATGAAAGGGTGTGAAAGCTATTGGCATAATCTTGAGTTCTTGAGTCTTAAAGTATTGTAAAAGTGAAGAGTTCTCCTTCTTCATCTCTTAAACTTATAACCATCCAAGAAATAAGAGTGAGACTTGTAAAAGTTGTCTCCTAAACTCGGCAAAAGAAGAAGAACTGTAAATGGTGGTTGGCCTTCGCTTATTAAAGGAAGGCCTTTAGTGAACACTGGAGACCTCATCGGAGGAGGAATCCAAAAGTGGATGTAAGTTACATTGACCGAACCACTCTAAATTCTGGTTTGCTTTTCATTTGTGCAATTTACATTATTGCAAATTTCTTTAATCCTCTCTTGCACTTTTACAAAAGCTTTCAAGTTCATAATCTCTCCGAAACGGATTGAATCGAAACCATTTTCGTCGAAATCAGTTTTAATCGAAACAAATATTTTTCTGAAATCGAAAAAGTTTTCTGCTGTACTAATTCACCCCCCCTCTTAGTGCTGCTCTTGATCCTAACACCTTAAGAGTCACGTATTCACAGGACTTTCTGCTCCATGAAATAAAGAGAGCATCGAGCTCCAAGCTATGACATGAAGTCTGCAAGGCTTTTGTGTTAGAATTTTAAGGGTCATATATAATTAAATATGTTAAGTGATTATTTTGATTAGTTAAAATTAAAATAATCTAATTAAAATAAATTTATTTGACTAAGGGATATAATTATTATAAAAATTAATTATGTAGATACCATCAGTCATATTTCTAACTTAATGACGAGATAAGTTAGGAATATGAAATTCTTGAGACATAATTATAGATTCATCAATTATGAATATAATCATAATTATAGATTCATCAGACTATAAATAAGGTTATTGCCCTCGATTGCAGTATCTAATTAAGTTTCTCTTCACCCGTCAAAGAGAAATCTAAAATTCTTAAGGATACTCTGCAATTGGAAGATCAAATCATCGATTAATTTAAAAAATATTCTAATTGATTCATCAGGTACGCTTCTATGTTAATATGTTTCTTAATTGATGTAGGATTTCATGCATATTATTATAGATTTAATAAGTTTTATAAAAATAATTAAAAAAATCTTGGTTTGGATGTATAAAATATGTTTGAATCAAAATTCGGTTTTGATTGTATAAAACAATAGTTTGATTCATGATTCGAATATAAATTATGAAATCCACCGAAATGAGAGGAAGAACTCCCTTTTGCCGATCGTGGCATGTGGATATCAACGCTAAAATGATACGTCGGATCGATTCTTTTACTAGTCGTTATGTCGGATCCATCATGTGTGTTGGCGTTCTAATCCTAAGTGGATAGGGTACTTTGACTATAAATGTCTCTCCTCACTTTTGAATTTTTGGCACTTCATTTTGAATTTCACATTTACGCATCAAAAGAGATCGGGTTGAAAATATTTCGAGAGATCATGTGCTTTATCAATAGCTTTCCTCTAACTCAGCTCCTTGATACCTCAGCTCCTCTGTTCAAGTTAGAATGTCTTTTTAGGTATTTCGATCGAATCCTTTTTAGAATATTATCTTTAGTTTAATTAAGAATATTTAAATCTTCATTTATATATTATATGTTTACTAAAATAAGATTATTGATGTTGTGTTGGCTTTTCGAATCTATTGCATTTCCACACACGTAGGTGACTTCCAGCGACTAAATCAAACTGAAATATAAAGATCACCTTCGTACAAACTCTTTTTTATATTTCTAAAAATATAAAAATTAACTGAAATATAACCGACCAATTCTTTCTTTTTTATTCTTACTTGCTTCATTTAAAACGATTTCTTCGTGTTCTTTTTTTTTTATTGTGGCTCACTCGAACCAATCTTTCTCACCACTTGATTCCATGAGCATGTTTTTGCTCAAATTTAGCTCAGAACTAACAAAGTAGCTGCTGACTCAGAACAATCAGATTTCCAAAGGAAAAGAATGAAAGGCTTCTCTACTTATCCATAGAGTATGTACAAAGATTACACAGGTTTTGCAGCAGGCATAAGAAGCGTACCAGCAAAAGATGCGTCTCGAGAGAATGAAGACTGCAACATTCCATAGTGGCTCAATCTCCTAGACTTCAAATAGCCCCAGATTCACCAATATCCAAACATATCCATGGCATGTGGGTGGGCCATGGAAGACAAACCACAGCTTAGATTTTGTACAAGAATACAAACACTATCTTGTCTTCGATCACCTGCACAAAACAACAAATATAAGAAAAGAAACTTTTAGCTCCTTGTGGGAATCCGGGCTGCACAAAGTAGATTGAAAAAGGATGCTACATATCTACGGATCACATTGATGATCATCAACAGCAGCAGCAAAACATATTACATTATTCATGTTGTTATTGTTTTACAAGTTTATGAAATCTTTTGTCAAGTTTATGAGTATCCCTATAATCCCTTTTTGTTGTGATCATTAGTCCTTCCGGCCACTTAACAATCGTCGACTGATACTATTTTACTCAAAAAGTTACAAGCAAATGGTGATTGTCAATCCAAAATGAGAATAAGCAGAAAAAAATCATCCCATCATCATGGGTTGTACATGCTCAAAAGTCATCTAATTTATAGATGTGGAGGCATCTTGATGTCAGGTGGAACTATACGAAATGTGTATTGCTTAATAGATACACTGAAGTAGCACTAACACAACCGATTTATAGAAAGCTTAAAGTTCCCATTTCAGCTAAAACCTAAAATTTCAACAAGATGCATAATATAAACATGTCATAAGAGGACAAAATACACCAAAAAAGAAAATGAAAAAAAAAAGCCAACCTAAGTTTAACATATGACAATCACGGATTTGTGAAATTTGCAATCAAAACCCTTCTATTTAGCATGAACACTAGCACAAGACACAAACATGGCAAAATAAGAGTATGTTGCATATGGTGAGAAAGTCGGGCACAGTAAGAGAGTGACATGAAAAGTGAGTTATATATATATATATATATATATATATATATATATATATATATATATATATATATATTGTGTGTGTATGTGTATATAGCTCTTATTTTATATAAGAAAATGTGAGTATAATTTAAAAACCCATATATAACTAACTTCTGAAAAATTTAACAGCAATTCTCACATATATCAACAACTAAAAAATAACTTTCAACATATACAACAAAAGAAAGAAAATCTCATATACTGTAAGTCAGTAACTGATAAAGCAAAACCCAATAAAGCATGTTAAAAAACTCCACTATTTATAAGGCTTACTTGGGAACCGCAATCCAACTAGCCAAAGCTGACCTTCTGCTCTTCATATGCTTGGCTTATTTTTATCCTATTTATGACAGGATAGTTGCTTATGCAATTAAAGGGGGAAAGCAGAGCAAAGTCAGTTCAAAACGGTGTGATCAATACAAAAAATTGAAGGATAGATCATTCAGCAATACCTAAAATTTTAAATGAGGTGCAAAAGGAGCTGGACAGGGAGATATTGTGTTATCTGGTAGCTGGTCTGTGAAATCAAAGATCGCACGCAGACAAGCATGAAGGATTTTCTTCTCTAACTTTACTAGCTGAACTGCAACCTGCTTTTTTGGGTTCAAATTGCGATCTGCCAACTGGTAATTATGTAATTACAACTTGCTCATTAGCACAAAACGTGAATACTAGATCACAATTATAAAATTTGAATTATCATTATTACCATAGCTTCATCCTCACTCAAGGTTGTAGGGTATGCTGCCAACCGAGCCTCGAAGTAAGCTGCAAGTTGGTCAAGGACTGCTTGCTCCATGCATGGGCTCAACTGTTATTAAGAAGTATTAAATGGCTATCACAACCATGGAACTCCACTCACGAGATACAATCATAAACTGCCTAAGCCACAGTAGAAGAAATAAACTTAATATGAAGCATACTTAGCACTGCACCACCTCGATTGAACTATTAAAAGATCAATTGCCCTGAATGCCAACTGATTTTCTATTAAATTACTTGCATCCATGATTGTCAATTTACATAGGAACCAAAAAATTAAATACAACCCTTGAGTACTAGAGAATGTAGTTTGTAAAATATATATGTCATATTATTGATTCATCAAGTTCACTGAGAAAATAGTGAACTAGATTAAAAAACAGATGAAACTTTGCTACCACAAGGTCACATGACAGTGTTTCGCATGTCAACCTGAGTGACACTAAAAGATTGATTCAAAGCGACAACTTTGTTTTTGCATAAATTAGAATGTGGGAATCCAGATGCAAAGATATAGGGGGAAAGATATAGAAAATAATAAGAAGCACAAGACTAGAGAAGCATGGCTACTTGGCCACAAGCGACAGCAGCGAAAATCACATGCATATCTTTCACAAACAACTAGATACCCCTTCTTCAGACCAAGCAAGCATTCCTAACCTATAAAGACTTCCAGTGATCTGATAACTTTTCAAGGACTATTAAATTTTTAGCACTGACCCTTGTCGAACACTATAATATAAATTTCAAGAAGAGATTAACCAACCATAGAGACACAAATTACTAGGGTCTCGCAAACATTACTCATGGCTTATTTGTAGTACTTGTAAAAATATAAAATATTAGCAAGTAAAAGAAGACTCAATTAAGATCCTTGGATATAATCTTTCTATTAAACCATAGCCAAAAATAAAAACAAAAAGCTTAAAACTGAATTGAATCCAAAGTGCATCAAAATTTCAACAACTCAACAATGACAATAAATGTAATAGTGAGAATATGGGCAAGATTACAATATGCAATTAGCGAAGGTCAAAATAATTTAAGTTTATGTAGGTAGAATTCAAATTCTGATGATGTACTCTGTAGAACTAGAGAAGATAGAAAATAGAAACTGATCAAGCTGAGAAAATAAAAATGGTTTTGGTGGTAGTGCAACAATAAAGAGTAAGTTGACTTGTGTTGGAGATGCCTCTTGCATAAACAAGAAGGAAACAAATACTTATAGAGCCGAACAAAAAAGATGTGTTGACCGTAAGACTTACAGGAATGTAGCTGGAGAATGGTGATTCATGCACTAAAAAATCAATCTCTCTCTTTTTCTTTTCTTTTCTTTTCTTTTTTTCTGTGTATGTTACCTAAGGCATCTCAACCTTTATGGTTTTCAGATTAATTTAGACATATACAATCAATGCAACATCCTCAATATATAGCAGAATTCTAAAAAATGTATTAATGATTTTTATTAATTTGTGAACAAACTGATTCAACTAAGTTAATTGGAAGGGCAGAGAACATATACTGTCAAAGGTGAAAAGCACATAGATAAGATGAAAAGCTATGATATTCCCAGTTTCTTCAAAAATAAATACCAAAGTTAAAATGAAAATGTTTAATTTCTATTAGTACATATTCTCTTACTGATTACTGACAATAAATTGATCAAGGCATTGCAAGTGAATTTGTTACCTGCACCTCACGTGTGCAAAGCCTACCTATCTAGGACATCTACAAAATAAAGTTTTTATATCCATTAAACAGAGAATTGAATGGACATACAGGACATGTAGGGCCTTGAGAAGAAATGACAGAATTCATCTCTGCTGTATCTGAAATGTACCCTAATCGGAGGTATGGTAGCATTTCTGATATGGCTTCTTTTTCTCTACCCACATAGACCTGAAAAAAGAGGCAATTTATACTTGATCAAAAGAGTAATGAAAGTAAATTTAGACTTTTCTTACATGAAAAACTTGGACAGCCAACTTCCCGTTTCTTTGAGCTACCATTCTCTTTTCTTGGTATTGAGGATCTTCTGTATTTAGAGATGCCTAGAGTACACGTTTGCGAGAAGATTAAACCAGTAAAGAGAATAAATATAAACTAGATGAGAGAACCCGGATTTCACCTCAATCACTATCCGATCATAGGGATTATCTTCATCAACAAAACCATAGTTAAGAAGCAACCGAGAATTTGGTTGTGGTCCACACCTATTCAATTTTGTTTAAGATGTCCATGAACAATATGTTGCATACATGCATGCAAAACTAGATATACAAAAGCACAGATAAGATGTAGATGACGGAACAATCACCAGAAACAACATATTACCACACAACAATTGGTTCCCCAGCTTTATATGGACGATCAACGACCAACTGAACAGCATCATCAACTGCAGTTAACATTGCTTTGCAATTGCTTTTGTAAGCCAATAATGGAGGCCCCAGAGGAACTAATGCAAATCTTCTGGCCAAACTTACATTCTGTTTCCAACAAAGTAAATAATAAAAAGGCAGTAAGGCATGGTGCAAAAGTCTGATGACATAATTTTAATTACTATCAAAGAAATATCATACATTTTTGCACAAAATAAATAATTTGTTCTCTCACACGATGATAAAAAGTCTGATACATTATGCTAAGACAATGAGATGGATAGACTAAAAGGATGATAAAGAATGCAATTTCAAGATGGTTGGGTCTAGAAAATTGCAAGAATTTAGAGCTCTCATTCTAAGAAATTTAACAAATGAAGATTTGTTCTATGTTTTATTTGGTGTGTTGCATTTTTAGAGGAAAAACTGAACGGAGTATTTTTATTTGTCAAGTCATTTATTATGTTTTCTTCTACTTCAGTTGCTTTACTTTCATGCTGCAACAACAACAACAACAACAAAACCGTAAATCTCAACTGTTTGGGATCGGCAATGAATCTTTTGCCGCCATTGAGATATGTAAAAAGTCATATGTTTAGTTAAGTTCAGACTTCAGAGTACTTCAATCTTTATTTATACTGATTTGAATGGTGATAATTCCTGAATATAACAATCATATGTTGATCAATCTTTCCTGTTCACTTTTTTCTTAGTCCTGCATCCAGATAGCACAAGCAAATGTCCACTGAGTTCTTGCAGGCTCATCTCTCAGACCAATTTACTTATGCCTCAAATAATACAAAAAGGTCATACTGCAACGTTTTACCAATCTTGTGGCCACTCTTACATGTGGGCATGGAGATCAGCAAGACCATATGCTTGATGTTTGTACCCCACATGTATTGCAGGACATTATTGGCATAGGGCTGCAAATCAGGCACAAATCTATGATCTTATAAAAAGACATACTAATCAGTCGAGTCCAGATTCTTAATTAACCTAACAGCAAAGATATTAAACATAATGCTTTAGCCATATGCAAATTTGTATTTGCAAAAGAGTAGCAATGTATGCAACAACTACCTGTAAATGAACCACACATGACTGAACCGCAACAAATGCTTGCTTAAAAATCTCATATGGAAAAGCCTCTGTGGGTATGTCAAATGGGTATTGCTGCGTTCCAAGAAATTTGTGAGAAAATGAAAGTTTATCTTTTAAAAAAGCAAATTCAGAAATGTTCATGCAGTTTGAAAACACTGAAATGAAACCTTAAAAAGTGAGCCAGCCATGAACCAAACTGTGTCCAGCTCATTGTACTCTCGCTTTATTCCTTCTTCCCTTTCCAGAACTTCAGCCTGAATGATTAATTACCATGTGATCTTCTTTTACTGATTGTTAACAAAATTTGACACCTCCATAGTGGTTGTATGGATTTAAAGCTTTTAAAATCAAAACAAAGCAATTTTGCTATAGTTTAAAACAATTGAGCAGCTATTACCCTTGTATGACTGCCATCTAAGTAAGCCAATTCGGATTCAGACCAGAGAAGTGGTGATTCCACGGCTACCTGGCCTCTTCCTCGTTGGCGATCGAGCTCCCTGATGAATGGATACCAGAAGGACTTCTTTCCTTGCTTTTTCTCATACATTAGATAGAGTGCCAAGCAGGCTAATTCTGACAGTTTGTTTGTGGTCAACAGTTCGGCTGCAAAACCCAAAAATAATAGACTGATACAGGTAGATAAAAGAATGAACAACATGAGAATTTTTGCAAAGTTGCAATACAATCAACATTTAAAAAATCAAGAAATAAATATACATAGAAAGCCATCTCTAACACAAATAATATTTGATAAAAATGAGATACCACAAAATTGCATCTGGTATTATTTTTTTGTAAACAATCCATGGATTCTTTTTTTGCCCATGTTTATCAGTTTTCTGATACTACTTTTATAGGTTTATTTAATGTAACTAGAACCAAAGTGGCCATCGACAGGTATCCAATAAGCAGAGAATAGAAGTCGTTATTACCAATTGTGTGGTCGTTTATTTAGGAACCTCATACGGCTAAAATTAAATCCTAAATTATGAAAACTAGTAAAAAAATATTTCTAAATTAATTAATTCCAAAAATCGTAGCTAAAATAATTTTTTGCACTATGATCGAGTTGAAAGACCACCAAATCCTCAATGTTCTCTTTTAGCTAATTGACAGAGAAAGGTACAAAATTTTCCTGCCATTGCTAACTTTATCAAGACTAGGAACATGTGATAATTGATAAGGAGAGAGTTGAGACCTCGGACTATTCAAGAACTTTTCTAGTTTGAACAATGAAAAATAGGGAGTAACAATGAATTTTTCTACCAGTAGTCTCATGCATTGAGCCCTTGATTTATAAGAGGGCAACCCTTGCTTCAAAGATGAGGTTGATCATCTATGACAAAGTCACAAAGGTGACCAAGGTTCAAGTCGCAAACATAGTCTCTCTACTCAATAGGGGAAAATATTGTGTACATTCGTGCCCTAGACTCTGCATTAGTGGGAGCCTTAGCACTGGACTGCCCTTTTTCCCAAAAGTATTCTCACTCATCCATCCACTTTTCATTGACCACTCCGCATCTTTCAATGTACTTATCTAGCCTCAATATTGCACAAGCATATATTTATCAGAATATTTAGATCATCAAACATGTAGTATTCCATTGTCTTTGAAATATTCCCAGCAGTATGTGACGTTGTCCATCTATAGACCTCTCAGGAGGAGCCTAACATTTTGGATTCGTACATAAATTTTAGCAAAGAACAACATGATTATACATAAGTGTCAATTTCCCTTCGATTTACTATTTTATTAAGTAATTCACATACTCGAGGGATGTACAGTTCAAATCCTAGAAGAAACATAATATGTTTGAAAGCAAGACCAATAGAACATACATCCTCTTGCGGACTTACCGATCGTTTCGTTTCCTAACACTCTATCCAGCGTCACGACCAATGAGTTTGGCACCAGATAAGCAACATCCCCCGCCTGCCAAGAAAATCGAATCTCACCACCCAAAAAGAGGGAAAATGAAAGAAGCCAACAGACGACGATCACAAAAACCCACAAACACTCACCTGCAGATTCTCACTAGCAGCGACATAATGAATCGGACGATGCTTCCCGTCGTGCGAATGCCTCTCCTTCAGAACGACCTTGCAAGGCGGCAATCCGTGACGGTGCAGCCAAGACTTGAGGTCCCCAGCCTCCGCCGCCTTCTCGCAGCGGAGGGCCTGCGAGCTCCCCTCCGATCCGGCGACCAGGGTGTCAGCGCCGCAGGCGAGGCACTGGTTCAAGCGACGGGTGGTTCGGAATGGGGCGCGTCGCCTCTGGATCCTGAGGCCGGGCAGGCCGGAGAAAGGGCGAGGGGAAGGGGAGAGAAAGGGAGAGGAGACGCAGGGCCCGAGGAGGTGAGCGACGTCCATGGCGGACGAAGGTGGGGGTTAGGGTTAGTGCTTTTGGGATCGACGGCGGATGGTCGGCGGACAGAGGGCGAGAGAGAGAGAAGACGGAAGCCGAGTCGACGGGAAACGGGGTGGGGGGGGGAAGAGAAGGATTGGGTGTGCGGAGATGAAGTGGATTTTTTGCTATATTATTACAAATATAGCCTTCCAAAGTTTGCAAAATAACGTATTTGCCCTTATGAATCTTAATATTACATTTGTGCATCCCATCCTTATCCAAAAAAGAAAAATCAGATTAACAAACTCTAATATGATGCATTTGATTGTTAATTGAATTATGATAATATTTAGTGTTTAAGAAGTGTCCGATCGATATACTCTTTCATCCTTAATTAACGCCAATACCAATTCAGATGTCCCATCAACTTATATATCAGCCAATAAAAACAAACGATTGATGTGATTGGTACGGTGACGCACAGATGATCCAAATCATTTTATGTCCTCGTATGAACCCTCGGATTGTCTGAGTCTCATATATTCTATCTCTTCAAAAGATATATCTTATTCGATCAAAGTCTATATTTATAATTATTATAAAAATAATTTAAAATTTATTTTTTATTTTTAAATTAAAAGAAAATTTAAAACCCCCAACGAAGGTGGCTGGCGAGGAGTAAGCAGTCCGAGCAACAGAGTGCGTGCTTTCAACGTGGATGGCTGCATGCAGACGCAGCTGCGACTGGAAAGCTTGTTGACAATTGTCGATCGGCACTGTCAGCTGTACAGGTCGTAGCTTTAACGCCCGCCGTCCAGGAAACACAAGCCCTACCCTTTTGACCACACCGGTGGAGGAGGAGGAGGAGGAGGAGATGGTGGACGTGGGTGTTGCAGAGAGGAGGAGGGAGGCATTGGTGGTGTGCGGTGAGAAGATGAGTGCCGGAATAACCATGTCTGACTTGGAGACAGGGGAGGAACTCATGAGACTACCCACCTGCGCTTCGCCTCCCCATGGCCTCCTCTGCCTCGCCGACCACCACCTCGTCGCGTCCCAGCTGCAGAGACATCGATCCTACCGCGGCGGTGCCATCTTCTTCTGGGCTTTGAACAAGGTATGGCCATGGCCATGATTTCTCCGATATCGAAGAGTTGAATCTCTCTTTCCACCTCAATCCATGGAGGCCAAGGGAGAAGAGAGCCGCCACCTTCTTCTCCACCATCTCTTTCCTTTATGTAGTCTATTGTTAGGATCACAAAAACCTTCAGTGTTGTGTTTGTGACTGTTCTCTTTTCTTTCCGACCCTTGATATTGAGGTTAAACAAGTTAGATGGTAGATTGAAAGAGCAGCATTGCATTATTTTTATTGTAATCACTATAAAAATAAACAAGTAAACATTTCTACATTGTACATCTGCAATCACATTCTCTGATATAATTGTTCTTGTTGATAATTGTCACAATGAAACTAATTGGTATTGACAATTGCTTTCTATTGTTGTAGCCCCAGTCACCACATAGAAGCTATCCACTTGAGAATATTGGGCCAATTTCCAGCTCCAAGGATGGCATTTATCTTGCTGGTGGAGCTCCTGCTGGGAATGTATATATATGGGAGGTAAGTAACTGACCCAAACTGTTTATTTTGTGTCTAATAAATACCATCAAACCAGATGAGAAAAATGTCACAATGCTCAATTAAATCCATGAGTGCCTTCGAACTTCAAAAAAAACCTGAATTCTTTCGTTAGTAGTTCCGGGCTTCATTGGCTCAGTATTGTTCATTCCATGAGTGAAGGTTACAAGTGGAAAACTGCTTAAGATATGGCCTGCTCATCAGAATCCTCTGAGCTGTTTAGCCTTTTCTCACGACGGCACTCTGCTTATTTCTGCTTCTGAGGATGGTGTCATCCATGTATGGTCCATGATCAGGTACCAATCATCTGAAACCTCAGCTACCGTGAGTGATAAACTCTTGGGAAAAAGAAGTGATTGCTTTTGCTTACTTACCATGCAAGCTTACTGGATGTTGAAGATCCTCAAATTTGTGGAACTTTATCTTCTCTACACACATGGTGTGAGCATCAATCCTCTGTAACTGGTCTGCTACTAATGTCTGGAGGCTGTAGCTTATCATTGATATCAAGCTCCCTTGATGGGACTTGCAAGGTTGAGACATGACAAGCTTTGACAATTTTGTTGCCAAATATAAAAGTTTAATGTTCTGATGATGCATGCTTGTTAACAACACGAGGTAATTTTTAGGTATGGGACGTCATTTCGGGCAGGCTGGTGCAAACTCATGTGTTCTCTGCTCCTGTTACTGCAATTGCTTCTGACCCTCAAGAGCAACTTCTGTTTGCCGGATGTATGGATGGCCGAATTCTTGTTAGTGAACTTAATCTTGGACTGGAAGAAACGCCCTCAACAATTTCAGAGGACAGTTCTGGCTTTCTTGGAGGGCATAAGTAATGTGTCACCTGCAACAATTTACTGGTTACATTCCATAACTTCTATAAGAAAGTAAATGATGAATTAGAAAGCGATTAAGTCACTAGAGCAGTAAAATTCCTAGTTGCTATGCAGATAATAGAAGCTAAGACAGTTCCGGATTACATATCATGAGACATACTATTAATCTGATTGCTAATATTTGACTGCATAGGGATTGTATTACCACTTTATCATTCAGTCCAGGAGGTAAATGGTTGATTTCTGCATCAAAGGATGGTGCTGCTTGCATTTGGGATGCTAACCTGTGTCAGCTCTTCCGAAGATTCAGCTATAAGAAGGGTAATCTGATATCTGCTCATGCATGCATGGTGAAACTGCCAAGATCTTCACTCTCGAGTGCTTTTTTGGTCCAATTACTTGTCATTTCTGATAACTTCAAGATCAGAATTCATCTGAATTAGATGCGGAATTTGATGAAGCATTTCACCGTGTCTCAGCAGGTTATATAACAAACTTGCTGGTGATCTCACAATCAATGCTCTCTGTGGCGAAGAACAAGAGAAGCCAGCTTCGCCCTCATGTCTCATTACTGGACAAGTCTCCTCAGCCAAACGTTGCAACAGAGAGAACACGGACCATTTTACCAGCTTACTGTCCTCAGGAAGATCACTTTATCAGCCCCGGATTCCAAACTTACCGACTGATGAAGAAGCAAATTCTTGAGCTTGAGGTTGACCCTCTCAAATTCATGTACCTGTTGCTATTTGCTCACGTTCTTACCTCGGTAGGGAAATGTATTTCTTGAACTTGCAGAGGGAGGGAACCCCAGAAGCCTTAGAGATGAAGGTGGTGGCAGCAGTGGAGAACCGCTTGCGGACTTCCACCGTGACGAAACACATGATCACCATCAACAAGCACTTGCAGACGAGATTGTTGGACATGATTCAGCGCCGGTTGTGCGACAACTCTGAGCTTGCTCGTGCCAGCACTAAGAAATCAAAGACCAAGGTGCTTGCAGCAGCATCAGACTCTTAAGTAAAAAAACATGGCTTTCCACCTCATATCTTTTCTAGTTTGCTTAAGCATGTGCAATTCTCTTGCTCTCGTTTCAGAATCTGGAAAAGGCAACACATTCTGTAAATATCTTATGTGCAACAAATTGAATTGCACCAGTAAAATGACACAAGAAAAAGACAAACCAAAGCTCAAAGGTATGTTATGTTGCTAAGATGCAGTTTATGTTCCAACCTAGCAGTAATAGAATGTTCAAACTTAGCAATCAGGTCTAGCTATCCTGGAAGTGTCATTATATACTTCAGCTAATTCAATCAGAAACAGAAACATATTCTTGGGAAGAAACCTGTTAAAGCGGAATAATTCTTTCCCTCTTTGTGTATCAAAATAGGTTCTTCATCAAAATACCAACTTGATATTTAAATGAAAATATCAACCAGCACAGCATAAACAATAGAGCAAAAATTAATCACACAGTGAGACCAAATCTTTTTAACGTGAAAAATCCAATGTGGAAAAACCACGGGACCGTAGTTCACCTTAAACTTCCACTATCAATAATAATGATAACAGGTTTACAGTAGGTCTTCTCTAGAATAACTAGAGGATCAGTATAACATCAAGAATATAGATCTTGGCTCCAGCATATCATCAGGATGGATCTCCTTAAAAGAGAATTCTAGATCTCACAGAGTGAATATCGCAGGAAAGCACCTCAGAGATGGTAAACTGTAGATCAACACCGTTAGGATTGTAGAATTTACTGCAAGGATTCTCCATATAAAATTTGGACCGAAACTGACAACGTTTAACCACCGATTGTCAAGCAAAAAACTCAGTAATCTTATTTTCTCTCTCTATTTCTCTCTTTCCTTGGCACGCCGCAATCTGATCTCTTTTTCTCACCTTCTCTCTTCTCTTTTTAATTTCTTTCTGATTTGGACTCAATAGACTCAATTGTCCAAGCCACATATGAGTTGGACCCAACACAATCCTAAAATGTTGGCACTCAATTCAATCTGGTATTCATCTTTCCTCGAGTCCCTAGGCATAATCGAAGCTACCAAAATGAAGAGAATCCTCGGCCTTCAGCAGTCTGTTCCTTAAGTTTGATCCTTTGCGAGCATATAACATAAGAATATTGTATGGTTTAGTCAAAATACCCTACTCCACGAGAGAGAGAGAGAGAGAGAGACTGCCACGCTACAAACGGTCACCACGTTTCTAAATTTGAAGACCCTGCACAGAGATTGTATTCCCGCCTTCCCTTGTCACGGAGATGCCATATCCTGATCTCTACATCTCAAGCGCTCCTCCTCCATTCCTCGGTCGCCTTCTCCGATTCTTCTCCGCCTTCCCCAGGCCCAAGTGGAACTCCAACCGCAACCTTGTCGTCACTCACCCTATCCTCTCCATCATGGAGTCCTGCGACTCCATGGCCCACCTCAAGCAGATACAGGCCCGCTTGACCACCGCCGGACTCATGTCCCAACGCTTCCCGGCCAGCCGCGTCCTCGCCTTCTGCGCCCTCTTTGATCCCAGCGACATGGCACATGCCGCCCTCGTCTTCCGTGGTATTTCCAGCCCCAACCCTTACATCTGGAACACCATGATCAGGGGCTACAACCGGGCCAACTTCCCCCTCTCAGGTTTCTCCTGCTTCCGCCGCATGGTCCGCGACCGTGTCGAGATGGACGGCCGCAGCTTTGTCTTCGTGCTGAAGAGCTGCGAGCAGCTCCCGGAGGCTTCGCCAGGGGAGGGAATCCATTGCGTAGCTTGCAAAGCCGGCTTCATATCACATTTGCTCGTGGGGAACGGCTTGGTGCGCTTTTATGCGACACAGGGGCCGTTGGCCTCTGCGAGAAGGGTGTTCGATGCTTTGTCTGAAAGGGATGTCGTCTCTTGGACTACAATGATTGATGGCTATTCCGAAAGCAGAAAGCCACATGAAGCATTGAGGCTCTTCTATCAAATGCTGATGACGGGTACCCAACCCAATGATATCACTTTCATCGCCATACTTTCAGCAATCTCTCAACTGGGTGAACTAAAATTTGGCAGGTTGATGCATGATAATATTGGAAGAAGTGGCATAGATGCCAGCATCAATCTTCTTAATGCTTTGGTGGATATGTATGGGAAGTGTGGTTCTGTGGCTGATGCAAAAGAAGTTTTCGACGACATGCCGATCAAGGATGTTTTTTCATGGACTTCTATGATGAGTGCATATGCAAAATGTGGTAACCTAGATCTTGCAAGGCAATTATTTGATAATATGCCTGAAAAAAATGTGGTCACTTGGAGCAGTATGATTGCAGCATATTCACAATCAAATCAACCTAAACAAGCAGTACAGTTGTTTTACGAGATGATTGCAGCACATGTGAAGCCTATAGATGCTACTCTGGTGAGTGTGCTTTCAGCGTGTGCTATGTTAGGTTGCTTGGATCTTGGTAGATGGATCTATGAACATTATATAGATGGCAAAATGATCAGACTTTCTGTAAAATTGGCAAATGCTTTCATAGACATGTATGCTAAATGTGGAGATATTGCAGAAGCAGCTAAATTGTTTGATGAGATGCCAGAAAAGGATGTGGTGAGTTGGAATACAATGATCTTGGCATATGCTGTACATGGTTATAGCAAAGCGGCCTTATTCCTTTTTGAGCATATGAAGAATACACAACTAATGCCTGATGACATCACATTTGTCGGTGTCTTATCTGCTTGCTGTCATGGCGGCTTAGTCGTCGAAGGTCGAAGGCACTTTGCAGACATGAAATCAATTTTTGGCATTGAACCCAAGGGTGTACACTATGCATGCCTGATAGACCTATTTGGTAAATTTGGGCTCTTGAAGGAAGCTCATGAGTTGGTAAAGGGCATGCCGGTGGAGCCAGATGGAGCAGCATGGGGTGCTCTCCTTAATGCATGCAGGATGCAGGGAAATGTGGAATTAGGAAAGTTTGCAGGTGAAATGCTTTTAGGCTTGGAACCTGGAGACAGTGGTATATATGTGCTTATGGCAAATTTGTATGCCACAAGAAGAGAATGGGATGATGTGAAGAAGGTGAGGAAGATAATGAAAGAGAGAGGAGTTAAGAAAACTCCTGGTTGTAGCTCAATTGAATTAGTTGGGAAGTTCCATGATTTTCATGTTGCTGATGTGTCACATTTGCAATCTAAAGAGATCTATGCAACTTTAAACAACATTTACACACAATTAAAGATAGAAGGCTATGTTCCTCAGACAAAATGTTGATAGGGTCGTACAAAGGTGGCTCAATGTCTACAAATGACAAGATAAGAACCTTGCTGAGATTGACTGGTACCATGCTGATCTTAACATAAACAAGAGCTTGAGTTAGCTGTTGTACATTAGTTCTGAAAGGTCACAAGACTTCTTGATGGGGAGTTCCTAGCCAGAGCAGTATTGATCCAGTGCATACCATCATATTGACACATGATATGCAGCTTACTGGTTGGTACATACCAGTGAGAAGAGGGGAGGGGAACAAGGAGAGGAGGGGGACGGGAAGGAGGAGGAGAGGAGGGTTGTTGGCAGTCAATATAAGAAAAATAAATAAAATATTTCAAACTGGATAGGATGAAATTGTCTGGTCCGAGTGCCAGTTCCTGATGGGCACAATAAATAACAGCTGGTCCATATCAGGCCAACTGATTTTTTTGAATGTTAATAATAAGGTCCACTGCAGATTGCTAAAATGCTAAATGCAGTGGAACTTCTTTGCCTTTGGATATGTTATTCGATACACAGAAACTGGCAGCTTTATTTTGGGTTAGAACATGGTATAAGTATCAGTAAATATTTAAATCCAATGGCGAAAGAGCAATTACCAGTTTCCAGTGGTAAAGCAGTCAACATATGCTCTTCACAAAGAATGCAGTTGCTTGAGTTCAGGTATCATCCTGCAACATGTAATAGTATACATATGAGATTTGCACTTTGTGTTTACAAATTAAAATTTTCGTTTTAACAAAGTTAAATCCATCTGTATCCGTTTTCTCTTTATAATTACTAATATTGACAGGTGCAAATTTGGTTGGTCTGAGGATGATGTTCAGAACAGTGCTAGAGATATCAAAGAGAAGTTCTTCTTGTGATTATGGTCTCATCAGGACAAACAAAAAAATAAAGTTAGGCTAAGTTACTAGCTGATATAATATTCTTGCAACAATAACAGGAAGTAAATCTGAACTGTTTGGGGTAGGCTGATAATATATTCTTGGTTTTAACTTATTCCAGCTCTGATCCCCACAAATATCTTTAGAAGTTAATACTTTGATTTCATTAATATGTTTTATGTTTGCCACCAAGGGATAGAAATCCAGATGTGAAACTTGGGTCGTCAGCCAATTAAGTTGTGACCATGCCAAAAAATTTGTTCTTTCTAGTCCAGCTGAGTCAATCCAGCAAGCATACTCGCTGGATAACTGAAACCCCAGTGGTTTATTTCACGATTTAATCAGTAAGCTGTCACTATACATGCTTGGTTGTCAGTGTCCAATTGGTCAACTATTGTCTACTTCCTTTGTAAAGAATCTTAGTAAAGGAACAAGTGCTTCTCAGGGAAATGCAACATATTTCTCAGTTAGGGCATCGGGATAATAATGTCTTCCAAGCTACTGAAGTTGTGGATACTCTGGAATATGGATTCCTTAACACTAGTTGAGGAAGGCAAAAATAGGTCTCAAGTGTAGGTGATAATCATAACAGTTTCAGCCATTGATCCAAACGACCATTTGCATTTGTATATAGATTGTACATTGTCAATGCTTTAATGCTTTATGTTAAATGAAATATAGGACTAGATATATGATTACCACCTTTTGATTTCTTAGAGGTGCATGTAATAACCATCAAATTCTTGAAGACTAGAATTTATACCCACGAATGCGGTTTATCCAAGTAGCAACATCATTTTCCATAATGACTTTCACCTGTCCAATTCCAGTGGCTCTTAACCTCTTGCTACATGATTGAGGATTGTACAGTCTTCCACATTCTATTTAATGGAGGAGGCTCGGAGTCTCCAAGGACTTGGCAGCCTCAACTTTGTGTAGAGCTTCTCCGTGTGCAGAACATACATGCAATTTGGGCATGAAGGAGATGACTTGCTCAACATGATAAGAAGATGCAAAGTGCATGGTATAGCAATCATATGGCTAGAGCTATTTTGCTTATTTAGTTCTTCTAGTGTAACACTTCTCCATTTGAGAAGGTTGAGATGTTGAGTCTCCTAGTCCTTGGGTTTTTCTTGAAGTGATACATCTTTCCTGAATGTTTCATGTTAGGTTCACAATATTAGAAAAAGGAAAAAAGTCGATGATAATTATAACCAGTTGTGAAAATAAATGTAACAGCATGATTTTTTATTGATACAGTGACATAGTAAATGCTATGTAGCAGAATATGCTTCACGTTAAAATATCTTCATGAAATACATATGCACTCAGTCTTAGCGAAACGCAGATGATTAATCATGTTAGTATATGACTAATTATATCTTTCATATGTGTCAGCTAGTTTTAACAGTGAATAGGCAGTATTCAAAACTGGAAGATTGGAGGGGAGGGATTTACTTGTAGATCTAGGCTCTGCCCACAATCCAGTTTCAGGGGATGTGAAGCTCGATCTTAATGCCGGCTTGGCTCACAGGTTCATCCCTTAGTTGCTTCTTCTTTCATTTGGTAAACCATACCCTGAAATCCATAAACCTTACCGTTATCAAATCTATCCATGATATTAAAGTCCTCAAAACCATGATGATGATACTGCGGTCTGACCTTAGATCTTAGCATATCAAGAGTCTTGGGCACCCCATCGATCAATTTATCTCCCTTCCGAATAATTACCGAAGACCGAACTTTTAACGAGTGATGATTGAATTTAGAAAGAAAGATTCTGCAAATGATTTCTGTAAAAAGTAAGGAATCGGAAAGGGAGATGACCTTCGGAAGCGAAGATGAAGGTCCCAACAGAATCGATGAGCTCGTCGACTTCCTCCACCCTTGTTGGTGTAACCAACCTGGGAGCCGTGGCCTCGGGGCCGACGCAGCTCGGTTCGGATCCGGACCACAGGGATATCTCCGGGGGCATCCCTCGAGCCCGCGGGGTCGGTCCGGTGCGCACCTGCACAAAGGTCGGGTCGGGGTGCTCGGCCCGACCCCTCCGACGATCAAGTTAGATGATGTGGAGAGGGTTTTAGGAGAAGAAGTGTTTTAATGTGTCTCCCCCCTTTCCCTCTGTTCAGAGAGAGTATTTATAGGGAAGCTTACTGTTGTTTGATGTGCCCGCCTGCAGGAGGCAGGCTAGTAGCGTCTGACATGGGCGTTGACGTGACGTGAAGAACCGCATCTGAGTAGGCATTAATGCGCCTCTCATCATGATCCGCCGATCTGACCCTCCAGCGTCGGAGCTCTCGTTGCGCTCCGAATCGGCAGAAAGAGGAGTGGGAGAACGAAGACGAGAGGAGAGACGATAAGAGGCGTCGCGTGTTCGCTAGAGCTGGGAGAACCCGGGATCGGAAGGAAAGCGTCGGAGGCTCCTCTGGTCTTCAGCATCTCTTCCCTCCTCCTCTGCTATGAAGGAAGGTGGACGATGAGATCGGGTCCGATCGCAACAAACGAGCGTTTAAATTGGCGGCGGCATGTGATGGGCTCAAAAGTATTCTCTTCCAATCAAGTCGCGAAGCGGGAAACTATGTCCAACGTGTTCTTTACATGTCGTGCATGGTGGACAGTAAACGGTCCGATGATTTCAAGCCGGATCAATAGTCCATCGGGTCCGATCCAACCCGATTAAATCCTAAATCCGGTTTGACCGGGTTGGCCAAGAAACAAGACGAGCTCATCCTCAATAATTTTATCTAATATGAAATATATTCATAATATAATGTGTATTATAATATATGAAAAGAATGCTCTCAAGTCTGATGAGGGAAAAACTAGTACCATTATTAAATTCCAAATATATGAATAGTTAAAATCAAAAAATATTTCCTAAAATATATGAGTGAATGAAAGCAGGGTTAATTATATATTATACAATGAAATTAGTTATCTTTAATATTTTGATCCTTATATTTTTAAAATTTACATTGGAATCTCTATACTTGTAAAAGTAAAATATTTAATTTTATTTCTCTTTACGTCGTCGATTTTGTTGATGAAAATAATACATGTACTCAGTGATAAACCGAAGTAAGATAGAGTTAACATGTATTTAATAATAAATTTTATGATATTTTCATCAATAGAATAATGGTGTGAGGAGAAACGAGATTAAATGTTTCACTTTTATAAGTATAAGTATAAAGATCTTTATATAACTTTTTAAAATATATAAATCAAAATACTAAATATAGTTAATTACAAGAATAATATATAATTAGCTCAAAAACTTATGAACATGTGATAATATTAATGTAATAAATGGCTATCACTAGATCGGTGGCATTCAGCAGCTGTTACCGTTATAAAATACAGAACGATAAAAGGATAGAAACAATATACTCTGTTTCGTTGGGAACAAAAAGCATCACTCATAGGGGATTACAGATAGCAATCAGGCAATGCATGCAAAGTAATCCTAATGCAAAGTCTCATGAAGCATTCGAAAGAACAAAGTTGGATAACAATCAGAAACTACATTAACATCTCAAAAGAAATCTTACTCTTTCGGTATTCTTTCTTGTAAAAAGAATCATATTTATTACACAACAAAAATGTTGGAAATGATCAGAGTAGAGAAACAGGACTGCTTAATTAAAAAGATAGCTAATCAATAAAAAGAATTTGGCGATCCTTCAAAGTGAGTAAACAGCTTCTTCTCAGAGAACAGAGTGAGAAAACAGCTTGAAATATCCCAAATATATAACAGATAAGGGACGATGAGTGTTCCTTACAATGCTTGTTGTGTTTGTGATATCAGAGGATATGGATCAGCATCAAGATGGTCGACAAACTTGGTTTACAATTATAGTATCCATAATCGATAACATTTATATCTGTGTGTATGTAACTCTGCATATACATCTTTATGTATTTGAAACACTTCTCTGGGCATAAATGTTGTTTAAACACAAGAATACAAAACAGTTGAGTGGATATCAGCTTATTAGCAAGTAGGCCACACAATGTGTAAGTGGTTCTATTAACACACACAATGTTTGCAGATCCTTCTTCTGCCTGAATGCCATCTTCTGTTCTAAATTAATCATAAGTTGATGAGCTACCTCTGCATTCAATATGTAGATTGTCTAACCATGAATCATTCAATAGAAGTGATGAAGATTCAGATTCTGTTGGCCATTCAGAACTCACATCTATTTCATCATATATAACAGGTCTACATTGGGCACCCCTACTTTGGCTAATAACCTGTAAAAGAAGATTGCAATGCACAAGAACTTAATCATTGAGCTTTTTGAGCTCCATCTTGGTATGGTTCTTTGCATAAATGTTCTCAAATGTGCTCCAGTTCCATTTGAACCAGTATGAGCTACATGGCTGGCTTAGTATCCGGACAGCAGCTCTCTGCAACACAGGAATTGCATAGCCATATGCAGTCCCCCAATTACCTGTGGTTCATATGAAGAATGTCAGATATGTGAAATAATGTATCTGAAATAAACTTGAACTCAGACAGACTAATCAATGGCCAGTAATCTTAAATCAAAATTGCAGTAAATTTGCTCCCAAGAGCACCTTATGCATTTATATACACAGTTGCTCCTTGATGAATTCAATCCTATCATTCTCTTCACGAAATATTTTTTACATTTACTAAAGTTATAAGCATAAAATCTATAATATGCCATATATAATACGAAAACAAATTGAAATCAAATAACATTTTCCATATTTGTTGTATGAAAGCCATGTAAATATAAAATATGTAATATGTTATATAATATGGAAAAAAATTATATTATGATTGAAATTAAATAACATTAGATTTATTTTACGATGCGTATCTTTTGATGTCATCTGAAAAGGATCTCTATGTGATCTGCAACGGTACCATATTTATATCCAAAATTGTTGTTAATTTGCAAGGAGAACTAGACTCTCCTTCTTATCCTTTCACAGAACCAGTTAGATTGATAGTTCATGGAGGTTGAGAGAGAAATTGTAATCTCTTGTCATCTATGATATGCGTAACATTCCATACTCAGTCTATAGAGGTAATACCTATTTATAGACAAGAACAGAGGGTCTAGAATAAGTTATTAGGAGAGTTTCTCCCATCAATAGCATTCCCTAAGAAATTCTTCTATAATATAATTTTTTTTTATTAACAAATATTTGTTATTAGAATCCAATTAATTTATTATATATTTTATCCAATTATAAATTCATTTCTCGTATTGACATCAAACCTGAAAATTGGATTATAGAAGATTGATGGATTTAGAAAATCTGTAGCTGCATTTAGATGAGAATGAATATGCATACTCTTTATCTTCTCTCGACTATTCCCGGAACAGGCATATATTTCTCTTTGCACCATTGATAAAATGTCTTGATCTCTAATTTTATACTTTCAATAGCTATATATATATATATATATATATATAGTCTATGCCAGGCATATCCCCACTAACCTACCTCAAAACATATCAAGTTGTCTTCTTGAATCACACTAGACCTTAAGGTAACAAAACTAGAAATGGTTAATTTTTATTGCATCAACTCCCTTCCTTTATGTTAATGATAATATTTATATTATTTAATATCTTTTGTGATATTTATGAAAAAAATTAATGATTAAATTATTTCATTAGAAATGTGGGGTCTTACATATCATATTTATAATACCAATACATTGATGTTTTGAGTATGTATGCTAATTAATTAAATGCATGATTTATGATTATGATTATTCTTATCTTGGATGTCAAGTGTTAAGAAAAATATGACTATATAATTTATTATAAATAAAAGAATTATTATCATAATATCATCCAGGGGATGTGTTAACCTATAATGGTTATGAGTTTTATTAAAGGAAGTTCAATTTGATAATAACAAATTAACTAGTCCAAAGAAGCATACGAAAATTAAAGAATGAAAAATAGAAAGAGTTTTAACTCTTGAAAGAGACCCCAGATAGTATTTTTCATGAAATGTCTCTAAATATATTATTGGTAAGATCTATTTTATATATTAAAGTATCATATTTGGGAAATTGGACAATCCACTAAAGCTTTAATGAAAAATCATGATTCTCATGACCATTAATGCATTGCCTTGTGACTAATCATGCATGTGTGTAATACTAAAAATTTATGTTAAAGAAACATAATTTAAGACTTGATTCACTCTGTTTCCTTTAGATAAATTCTATTTACACTAACAAAAATTCAAACTATATATTATAAACTTGAACTCGACAGACTAATCAATGGCCAGTAATCTTAAATCAAAATTACAGCAAATTTGCTCCCAAGAGCACCTTGTGCATTTATATACACAGGTTGCTCCTTGATAAGTTCAATCCCATCATTCTCTTCATGAAACATTTTCCATATTTGCTGTACATGAAACATTTTCCATATTTGTTGTATGAAAGCCATGGAAATATAAAATATGTAATATGTTATATAATGTGGAAAAAAAATTGGTAAGATCTATTTTATATGAAAGGATATGAAAGGATATCTATTTTATTTGAGGACTTCCGATTTATCCACTCATTTTCTAAGTAACTTTGTCATACATCGTGATGACTCATTTTGCACGTAACTTTCTAATATATATTTTTCATTTGATTCTCTTTTTTAATAAATTTAAATTTGTTTTGATGTTTATTTGATACTTTTGATTCTCATTTTTCATGGGCTTGGACCGATTAATTTGAGCATTAAGTCGAAATCTGATATATATAAAATAAAAAAAAGAAAAGAACAGTGGCGTGCGAGACAAAGAAGGATGCGAACGTGTGCGTGCATACAGTCAAATTGTGGTGGCACAAGAAAGAATAACAGAGTGATTAAATTAAGATTATGA